TGATTGTTTCATTATAGTAGTCCGATTAGGTCTGACGGCCGATTGAATTTGCTTCGGACGTGATTTGTTTTTGATTTTTTGGAATATCATCGTAGCTCTGCATAAATTATTATCAAGCGGTTGCTAAATACTCATTACCTGATTATAGTTTAATGCTAGCACAAACGATTGAATTATCGCTTGCACCCCTCCACTTCATAAACTCTAAGTTTAAACTCGACTTATACGTAATCAGATTAGGTGTGGAGTCTGAGTGTGTTTTAATGTAGCCGGAGAGCCATTATTGAAGAGTAGACATTTATTTAGAAGTTTGTTTTGTGTTGTTGTAAAGTTCGATAAAATTCTGCTGCCTTATTCATTTAAATCCAATTTTGGAAGGGAAAAATTGACGGCGACAGCTTTCGGTTATAATTACTGAGGCTTTTTGGTTTTTACCGATTAAAACCCGACTTATTAGTGTATTCAGTAGAATGCACTTTATCCAGGTTAATATTTTGCATCGCTAGTTGAACGCGGAACGGCGCAAGATTCGCCGTAAGCCGGGACTTTAGAAACTTTCTATCTAATACATGCTGAACGAATTTATTATCCCTTTAGTTATAGATTCAATCTAACTTACGAAACTCTATAGAATTAAATAAGTTACAAGCAAGGATTACTTCAATATAAACAAAATTTCATAATGACTCCGACGCCGAACAAGCACATTTACGAATTCAATACATTTTTTAAAGCAAAACTCATTTTTTACATTTCATAATCATCTAATTTTCTAATACCAACAAAAATACAGGCTGTTCCGGCTAAAACCCACATTAGAAGTTCTAACAATGATATTTATCTAAAATTTTGTTTAAAGCCATAATCGGTTAGGTTCTCACAATGAAAATATCTTCAAAATGGCGGCACTTCCTCTTACACCGAAAGTGGTTATTTTAAATAGAAAGTTATGTTTTTTATTGCGTTTTTGGTTTACTCAAGTGACTTTAGGAGAGTTTTTATCAGCCTTCTCTATACCTAAGTTTCATCGTTTTTGAAATCGTATTTGAATATACGAGAGAGAAATGTTAGATCTTTCGTTTGTTGTATTTATAATTGGAAAAATAACTAACAAACCGCCGAAATATAAGGTTACGTTTACGAAAATTCAAATATCTTTAACTAATTTTTTCTAAATGAAACATCCCAATTTTTTCTTCACTAAATGAAGGAGAATTTAGTTCTGCTTCGATCTGTATTAACATTCCATATACCTACTCGTATGTTTGATATTTTCAAGTTATAGTAACTTCCTTTGATATTATGAGAAATTCATTAGTCATAGCTACATTAGCATTAAAAACAAGAAAAAAAAAAGAATATCAAAGTTATTCAAATTTAGATTAAATAAATTTAATTTGTATTTGTACGAAAAAAATAACACAACTGTAAAAAAAACTTGGCGTTTTTTCACTTATAATTACACTCAAGCTTTTTTTTTCGAAGTAAACTTGCCATTTTAATGAGAATTTTGTTTTCTGGCAATCTAACGAAAAAAACTGCTTCTGCAAAAATTACGGTCCGTAGGACCAGTAATTTTTTCTGCAGGTTTTTTGAGTTAAATTGCCTAAAGGAAACAAAACTCGAATTAAAAATGTCAAGTTTTCTTCGTAAAAAAGCTTGAGTGTAATTCGGTAAGACAATTTAATGAATACGTAAATCACTAAATTAACAAATAAGGTGTAAATAAGTTTATTTAATTTAATGGAAAGTACAATTATTAAAAACACAATTCTCATAAACAATTTAAGTTCGGTTCCGTTTTGTCGCTGTAATAGCAAACTTTTGTAGCTGTCATAGTGACAAACAAACACCGCGGCTTATGGGATTTTTCATGTATGAAAAAAATTGTCCGTGAAAAATATTTCCATGACAAACTATGCGAAAACTACCATGGATAGTAATGAATTTCTTCCATTGTAAAAAAAAGTCGAAATAACTTAGAAATCATTAAATTTAGGTATAGAGGATGTTGATACAGATCGATGGAGAATACATTTTCTTTCATTTAGTGAAAAAAAATTGGGTCCTTCCATTTGAAAAAATTCAGTTACGGGTAACCTTACGTAACCTTAAATTTTGGAGGTTTGTTAATTATTTTTTCAATTATAAATACTCGAAAGAAAAGATCTAACATTTCTTTTTTATATGCTCAAACACGATTTCAAGATAATTAAAAATGATAGAGTTATCGATTTTTGGAGAGGAAGATGCAAATTAAAAAAATTCAAAAAAGTGTAAATACTTCAAAAACAATTAAATTTAGGTACAGGGAAGTCTGATAAAACTCTCTCAAAATCACTTGTGTAATCTAAAAACGCAATAAAAAACCTAACTTTCTATTTAAAATAACGAAGATGCTGCGATCCTGAAAATATTTTCAACAAGATTTAATCGATTATGGCTATAAACAAAATTTTAGATAAATATCATTGTTAGAACTCCCAATATTTCTAATCTGGAGTTTAGCCGGAACAGCTTGTATAAATAATTGTTTTGCTCGAAAGTAAGCTGTTATCCTAGATAATTGTGTAAATACTTAATTATTGTTTACAAAAAGTAATAAAAATAAAAATTAAATACCGTGAGAGTCATTATCCGATCAATACCAGCTCTACCTCCCCAAATAATAAACAGAAATGGCCCATCGGCGTGCACCTTAAGCAAATTACGCAAGCGTAGCCCCAAACCAAGCAAAAATCTAAAAATAATAAATAGTTAAGTTGCGTCAGCACGTGCGGTTTCTATCGGATCTTCCATCCGCTGATAGAGTCCCATCTTCGAGCGCGACAAATCCCTTGTTTTTGACCGGAAAAAAAATGCAACAACATTGCCATTATTATGCGGCAATTTCTATTGTGGCAGCGGAAAGGACTAGACTGCATGGAATTACTTCCGGCCAATTTCCCTCGCACTCGAGGCGGGATTATTTCGTGTCAGGGTTGTTACGGCTTGTAATGGGACACCGAAAAATGGGGCCTGTCGTGTTTCGTTTCAATTTGGAATTGTCGCACCATTTGCATTTTTGTAGCGTTTAAAAACTTTGCTGTTCGCAAGCTTTAAACGCAGTTTAAATTGTATACTGCCTCGTTCACGACACAATTCTCCCAAAATATAAACAGACGTCGCGTAATGTCACCAATTCTTGAAATAAATGAGCTCAAGGGCGTCTCCTAGAATCACAGAGACATCTACCAGACGGAAACCCACACTATAACCAAGAATTTTGTACCAAATTTGTGTTACCAACAAGAGCTCTTTAGAATTGTGTAAAGCTTTGGTATTAACCCGGCGCATCCACCAAAACTGTTATTACAATATGTAATTATATATAATAAATACTAACATGTTCTTTAAAAACAAAACAAAGATAATTGTGATTACAGAAATTAGAAAACATTCTCAAAATATTAATTATTCAATTAAAAAGTTGTACGCTCGGAAAAAAGGTAAATACTATTGAGTTGTTTTTGTTTTTGTTTAGCGTGTTTTTGTATCTAATTAAATATAAATAATATTGATTTTTCAATCGTAGATAATTACATTATACCAGATGTTCCGTTTTGATTGTTACAAATTTAAACAGGTGAAAGAATAATAAATTTTAAGACAAAAGATTCCTATGAACATGTACCAAAAAAATGTATGTAATGGTGCCCTCTGAAAGAGGTGCGTCTTTTAATGGTTTTTTCCATATTTCAGATTATATTTTTTCTAAACGGATTCAAAGATTTTTTGCCACTTTCAGCAAGAAAATTCTAAATTCCATAGTTTTTCACGAAAAAGAAGTCGTTTGCGTTTTTTCGAAACAGCTTACCGTTTTCTGATTAAAAATTTTGACATTTTAGGTCTATAAAATTTATCAGCTGTACCAAATTTAATGTAATTTTATCTATTCTGAAATAGTGAGAAAAACCTATTTAAAAAACGTACTTTTTTGAGAGGGTGTAGCTTCTTACATTGCATTTTTCGATACATACTTATAGGAACCTTGGTCTTAAAATTGAATATTTTATCACCTGTTAGGTGAAATTTCACCAGATCTCGTAATTTTCATCTTAGTTTGGTGAAAACTTTTGTAAAAATTCTCATATCTGGTAATTTTTTGGAAATGCAAAAAACAGTTTTTTGAGCATTTTTAACGTTTTTAACCAGAAACTTCGTTATTTCGTTAAATTTTTATAAGAAAAAACACCAAATTATTTAAAAATAGTTCTATTTGTTTTTTACAACATATTACTAAACAGAGTCGAAAATGACAATTTATTTTTGTTTTTTTTTCGAATGCTTTTTCAGCAAGAAACACAAGCCAAAAATTCAACCAAAAAGCTCAACAAATGACGTTTTTTTGTCTTTTTGAGAGATAAAAACACAAAAAATTCGAAATATTGCATTGAAGCAGGCAAAAAATTACAAAATTAAATCGAAATTGATATCATTTTTTAGCTTCTTCGTCCGATTTAGAAGCTCATTTATTTGTCCAAATACGCTAAAACAAACTAAAAAATTAAGAAATTAAGTCTAAAACTGTATTAATTTGCATTTATTCGAACGTTTTAGTACGTTTTTCAACTAGAAACGCAATTATTTGGCAAAATTTTGTTAAAAACAAGCCGAAAAAGCATGTTATTTTAGCTTTTTTCCAAAAGTTTAAACTGAGAGATTTTGCCATACAAATCGTAATCGTAAAAATTTGGTAAATTTTTCAACTCGGATCTGGTGAATTTTATGTTTTTGATCTGGCAACACTTCGTGTTAAATTTGTAATAATAAAAACGGGACACATGTTTAGGCATTTGTAACCAAAAATCAGATGTATAATCTGTATTAGTGTTTCGTTAATTTGTCAATTACAAATAATAAATCAGAGAAGCTTGAAAACTCTATATTTATTTAAAAAAAGAATTAATTAGTTCACTAACAAAAAGTACAATTAATGTTTTATTTTCCCTTAAATTAAATACAAAATTTTTACATAAATTTACTATAAATATTTACAATAATTTCTGGTAAGTACAATTGAAAAATAACATATTTACATAAAAAATAAGTTCAAAATAAACAAATGTGAATAAGGTAACACAAACGATATCATTAGGAGTCTTTTACAGGATGCTAATTATTGTCTACATAACCTTGCATGAAAACAAAATAATATTAGTAAAAATACTGCAGTCACATTTCAACTAAACAGAAATAAGTAGAAAATACACTAAACAAAAGTGTAGGGTTGAAGATATACCCGTTTTGGAACTTAAATTTGATAGTATTTAGTTAAATGACTAAGTTTCCTAAAATATCACAACCACTTATTAAACATTGCTCGATTAATACAAAAAATGGCAACCCTTTTTGTATTAAATCAGCACCAACATGATAAATAAAATGATTGAATTGATAATAATCTATATAATGATCAACACTGGCCCTAAAGATAATGAGTATTTGAAAATAATTTGAATTACACTAACAACCGGAACCAAAAAAGCGTCAAACTTTACCCAGTTTATCAACAATTCCGTTATAAATATGAAATATGAATTTTGTATAAAATATCTACAACATTTACGGTTTACGATGATCTAATGTATATGTCTTTATTTTTTGATTGCAGTGTCAATTACACTTTCCGGTCTTGCGTCTTTCTCAAATTGACTAGAAATTGAAAAACAATCAAATTACGATGTACTGGTAAGCTTCCACCTCTGCGTCTCTAAATTACTATTGCATCGCTCGGCCGTAATACCCTTAACGTCCGTAAACCTAGAATCTAAGCATAGAGGAAACCTGGAATGTCGCAACAAACCACCAGGTTCGATCAAATGCCATTTCTGGCTATCTGACCCATCACAGATCCTCATAACGACCTGCACACCCTTTATATAATCATCCAAAGTTAAACACAAATCGTGGTGTTTAATCAAACCACCACTAGTGAGACCCCATTCTTGATTACCACCGGTATGGTGGCATTGATACAACGCGACGGTACCATCAATCAAATGTCCCATGGTATCTAGACAGTACAGTCCTTGACGCAATTCGCCCACATGGGCAGAAGTCGCTTGCGGAATCCCCAATTCCGGATAAACATTCTGCAAGTACCACTTAAACGGCTTGCACTGGAGATTCCGCCTTAATTCCAGACGTTCAGAGATACTAAAATAATTAAATTAGTGTCAATTTGGCTTAATTAAGTTACTTACTCTCCAAATGGAATATTTTTGGCTAGAGGGACGGCAGCGTAGTAGAAATGTTTATACTCATCCATCCAGACTTCAGCAGCACGACGAGTATTGCGAGCGAAAACGTTACCACTACCCCCGGGAAAAGTGTAAGGGTGTCTCTTCCTAAACACGTGACCCACCTATAATTAACAGTGATTATTGATTGGATATTTAAGCTAGTTGACGTGTTTTTACCCGACTACAAGGAATTATTTCTAAACTACCCCCGCACTGCCACACCCGGAACGAAATTTCAAGGTTCTCCCCTCCCCACACGTCCATTTTCATATCATATTTGCCCAGTTTTTCGAAATACGCTTTGTTTATGACGAAAAGGCCCCCAGCGATCATCGGTGTCCGAATTGCCTGAAATTTTCAGATTAGAATGATTTTTATTTGGATTGGTGTTTTACTTGTGTGGGATCCCTCTGGCGACTCTCCCTTTCAGCGTACCCCAGATATTCCCATTTAAAAACCAAATTCCAATCAAAGCCCCCTCGCAGATCAGCCGAAGCTCCGATGTACTGAAACGTGTCCATGCTGATTACGTCTATAACCGGACAAACTACGCGAGTGGGATCCTGGAATAAATCGGAGCGTTAATTAAAAACTTCTTTTCCTTTGTATACATCGGAAATTTGCTTTGTTCATTAAACGCTTTCGTTTTGTGTCCCCCGAGGACTGCATGAATTATTTATCAAGATCCTTTCATTGCCCCAAAGTTATTGAATTAGAACAAGATCTAAGCCAAAGGACAAGTTATCAGGACAAGATAAACACATTTTGGATGCTAGGAGGCGATCACTAAATCATTAAAGGTAAAATATTCTCTGAAAAACTACCAAGGAATCAAGCTTGCAATATTCACAACGCGTAAACATCAAGGAAATGTACAATTTTTAAATTTATTCACAACTGCATTGCGATATGGTGTTCCCTTTTCGATTTTCTCAACTTAATAGACTCCTCAGTGAACAAGACTTCGTGACAAAGCAATAACAAGTCTTCGTGACTTGGTAAGATTATCAACTCTTCGTAATTTGTTCAATTGTGCTTTGAAATCTATTATTCCTGATCAAATCTCGTCATAAAGTCAACAAAGCATAAAGGTACAATCAGCGTAGAAAAGATTGTCTAAACCGCCCGGACCCTTAGAGGCTGAACCCATAAACCACAACAATAAATCTTATTCCATTGTAAACGTCATTTCATATTTAACAGTATAATCAGTTTGAAGTGAAGCTTAGTAAATAAAAAAAATATTTTCAAAACTAAAAATTAAATTAAAAAATAATTTTAATTAATGTTTAATTAGTTATTTATTTACTAAGATAACAAGTAAATGTCGTTTTAAATGGCATAATTAAATAAACAATATTATTATTAGTAATACCTAATAAAAACCCTTTATTATTAGGAATTAAAATGACCAAATCTAACCAGAGGCTCTTTAATTTATTGACAGCTTAATCTTTTTAATAAAGTTACATTTGACAAATTAAATAATTTCATATCATTTTTATTCAATCCAAACAAACTTTGACAACAAACACATCGATTTTCTAAATATTTGACAATTTTATTTTACCATAGTAAACAGAAGATAATAGCTTTTAACATACAACCTAGGATGTAATGAATGTCGTAACAGCTGCAGATGTCAGATTTTAAGACATCTAAGGCTGTTATGACATTATCACATCCGAGATTTGTTCAAGATTTTATCGATTTCTGTCAAATAAGCCAAAAAAAAGCAGATGTCAGTTTGAAATCCGAGCGAGTTTACAATTTTACAATAGCGATATGTCAGTAAAAATGACATATCGATATTGTAAAATTGACATTTCAATATTGTAAAATTTTACAGCAATCAATAAGGTTATGCCATAGTTACCAGGCTATTTTTGTGCATGTAACATTGCTCTTAACAGACAGAAATCGATAAAATATTTAAAAAAAAAATGTAGACTATTTATTATGTAGTAGGTACATTTTTCTTACTACAACAGTGTTTGCATATATTAATTATTAATTATTAATTTGCATATATTATTGTATTAAAGTTACAAATAATATTTTGGTAATAATTTGTTTATTAATAGAGTAGACAGTTTTTCAATGGCTATGAAATTTTATTAATACACAAAAATAACAGTTGATTAATTTAGTTTTAATAAAATAACTAAACTGAACAATTATTATTATTAAATTCGTAAATTTGTCACAATTCCTTTGCCTTGGTTGCAAACATCTCAATAGTTCAATTTAAATATTCCTTTTTTGTAAAGATTGCCACGAGTTGAAAAGAGTTAGCACCTCTACCGATTTAAATTGAGTAAAAATTAATAATGAAATTATTTAATTTGTCATTTACAACTTTTTCAAAAATAAATGAGTATCAATATTTTAAAGAGTTATAATAAATAGTCTCTTTTGATCATTTTAATTTCTAGTAATAGATGGTTTTTATTAGGTATTTCTAATAATAATATTGTCTATTTAATTTTGCCATTTAAATCGGCATTTACTTGTTATCTTGGTAAATAAATAGCTAATTAAACAACAATTATAATTCTTTTTTTAATTTAATTTTTAGTTACAGTATAAAGTTGTAAAACAATTTGTTATTTACTCAATTGAACGTAAAATCGGTAACACTTCAAACTAAATATACTGTTAAATAAGAAATGACGTTTACAGCGAAAAAGATTTATTGTTGTGGTTTATGGGTTAGCGCGGTTTATTAGGAAGACAATCTTTTCTACGCCGATTGTAGCAATAAGTCAAACTACTGAAGCTACTTAAAACCCCATATAAATGCAGCTTTTCGTACAAAAGCAAATAAAAAAATATGATACGTGTCAAAATTATTTAATTAACAGTTAAGCGGGCCACAACAATCGTGAAAAACTTTCACTAGAAGCAAAAAAGGCGTTACGCCACCTAAGCGTAAAAAGTTTCAGCAACTTTTGAGCGGTTAGATGATGTTAATATCTCTTTTTATACTCTTTTTACAACAAACTAAGGTTTAAAAATGTTATCGTGATAACGCCAGCTGGCGAGTGGCAAATGTAACTGTCCAGATATATGGACCACAAATCAGCTAAACAACCAAACAATGAAACAATTTGTATAAAAAATGGACAAAACCAGATAAACACGTCGTATAAACAAATAAAAGCAGACAAAAATTCGTTGAATGATAGAAAACACACACTCATTACGCAAAGTCTGAGGCAACTTCAATTTACAATTAATTATTCAAAACTTCTTTATACTCTCATTATGAGATTTGAATAACAAGCAACTGATTTATTATTAAAAAGTTCGTTTGTAGTATTCTATTTACAAATATTAAAAAAACGTTTCAAAGAATAAATAAAAATAACAAACGAATTAAAAGAAAATTTTTCTAGATTTCTATCGTTGGACATTTTTTTTAAGTACATAGTATTTCCAAAATGTAGCACTTTAGAATTATTTCATTAAATCGTGTTGAAAATATAATTATACAAGACCGCTAAAGTTTAAGCAAGCAAATTGGAAACAAACCTATTCACTTATACAAATTTCCTTTTTTAAACTGGGGGCTAAAATTAACTGTATTAAAAAACTCCCCTTCTTCCAAGTTCGAAACCCTCAATTAATTAATTCGCAAACCGTGTGCAATTTCAACCATCCTCATCCTCTTTGAAACACTCCTGCCTTAATTACTCTCGACAAACGTCGTAGTTTTATTTTAAGCAGAACAACTTTGAATAAGCCCTAATACTGACCTCGGCGACCCTTTCCAGCAGAGGCTCGAGCCAATTGACATTGCACTCACAGTGGCTGTCCAGAAACGTGAGTACAGAAGCTGTGGCCGCATCCGCCCCTCGCACCCTCGATCTCATCAATCCTTCACGTTTATCATTGCGAAGCACCCGGACTTTTTGGATCTTGGCCAACTCCTCTCCGTCCTCAGCTGCAAAATTAAAAAATATGATTCCGGGCGCGGCTCTCGGCTGAAATACGTACGATTATCGCTGAAGTCGTCCACAAGAATAATCTCTTTGATCAGATGTTCCGGACTCCGGTTGAGAACGCTGAAAAATTAGGAGAACATCAACCGGAAATTCTTGCCTAAGTGAGTTAATTAAGGCGAAACAATGCTACTTCTGGGTAGTTTCACTTATATCACAAACAATGAGATTTGTATCGTACGCGATTGTGGAATTAATATGGGATTTTTTTCATGTTTTGTTCGTCGTGACTTGAAATATGACGCGAAAACGAGGCCCGGGTTTACTTCCTGCATTCAAAAAGGGAACATTAATCAACGAACAAGAAATTTTTGTTTCGCTTAATCCCCCCGAAACGCTTTCTTCATTTACCTAATTCATAGGGAATTTCTCAAACAATAGGGTCCGCCCTGCGAATTTAATTGCAAGGTTAATCTACTCACCTAACAACGGTCCTGAGGAGGGTGGAACGAGCCTCGTTGTGGAAAGTTATTATCACGCTGGTTGGGGGCAGGTCGGCCCTCCAGTGCTTTCGTCGACACCTTAAATGAAATTTATTGATAACTCCCAAAAATCAATTAAAAACTTTCGCGTTTTTAAAACAATGAAACAAAAGTTTGATGTAAATACCAGCTGCTTCTCCAAATTACATTTTTTAACTTTATATTTTGTTGAAATAAAATTTAACTTCGCAAAGACTAATACTTTACCATTAATTCGAAAAACTTGAAACTTATATTAAACTTAGTGCTGGAAAAGTCTCCGACGACCGAATTATAGTATCGTACGCAAAACAGAAGTCAAATAATAAAATATAAAAGACAATTTGGTACTTTTGCCTCTTCTTTTGTTGAAATAAAATGTTATTAACTTCAAGCTTTATCGTTTGATTTAACTTAAAATTTACATCAAACTTTGTGCTGGAAAATTGTCTGACAATCGAATTGTAGTCTCATACACAAAACAAAAAATAATAATGTTTAAAAAACTCTTTTATGCATATTAAAATTTTGAAAAAACATAAAGAATCGAAATAAAAGTAGGTTCTCAGAAAATAACACGTTATGATGAACGAAATTATAATGACATACAAAGTGTCCCAGCGAGTTGAAAATGTCCATAATTGACCTTTAATTAGTAAGATTTAAAAAAAAATGTATAGAATATTGATAGATACTAATCTAGTGCATCACCTAAAATTATTTTCACCCATACAGCATGTCCCAAAAATAAGTTACGATATAAACTTGTGTTTTTTAAATAAAACACCGTATGTTTCGTGACATTTTTGGATGTAGCCTTTTAAAACAATGTTTTAACGCTAAACTTTTATTAGTCAATTTCGCTTAGTTTTATAAATAAAACGGTTTTTTTGACGAAAACATGCACTTTTAAAAAATTTATTACACAAAAACTAAGACAGCTAGAACAAATCTTTTCTTACTTCTGTAAAGAAGAAAGTACAGAATTTAAAGCTGTATCAATTTTTTAGTGTTTTGCATTTGTAAAGATTAACAAATTAAGAAGAAATTAAATAACTGAAAAAAATTAAATGGAACACCCTATTTTTCATTTTTGCATCTAATAGATTGATAAATTGTTTATCTAAAAAAATAAACTTTTAATGTCTAGAAGTGATAAATGAAAAGATATTTAACATTCAATATTAATTGTTGCAACAAAGCAACAATCAATATTTGAGCATTGTTGATACTATGGCAACCATAGGAATTCCACCACGGATCACTTATCCGTTGATTTAGATATTGTAAAAGTCGTTATAAATACTGAAATTCGAGTTATTTTATTGTAAAAATAAAGAATAATGGATTCAGTTTAACACAAATGTGATTATTATTCTTCCATCTCTTGTGCAACTGTGCACTTTTTGGATAGTGAAACAATAGTCATTATTTCATTTCATTCATTTCTTTATCATTTTTTTTATCTTTGCAAATGCAACACACTAAAAACTTGTTACAACCTTATAGCTTCTACCTTCTTCTTTGCGGTAGTAAAAAATATTTCTAGATGTCTTAGTTTTTGTGTAATTAATTTTTAAAAACTGCATGTTTTCGTTTAAAAAACCGACCAATAAAAATTTAGCTTAAAAACATTGTCATAAAAATCTACATCCAAAAATGCTAAGAAACATATGGTGTTTCATTAAAAAAAAAAACACAAGTTTGTATTGTAACTTTTTTTGAGACACCTGAAAATAATTTTAGACGATGGACTAGATCCAGTATATCTATCAATGTCCTATATAAAAAAAATAATTTTACCATTTAAAGGTCACTAATGGACTTTTTCAACTCGTTGGGGCAACCTATATGATGAAAAAAACACTCCCATGTCTTATCTCAGCAAAACTACGATTTTTTCCAAATAAAAAAACTTTCAAATTAAATATTCGAAAAGAACAAGACAAAAATTCTAATTAAAATTCAACGAAAAGTCAACAAAATATTAATTAGTTGATAACACAATTTTTAAATCCGATCATTGTTTGATAAAATTTACTCTCATTTTGTGGGACTTTAATATTTGTTTTGTCCAACCATTTACCGAGTTAAATTACCGTCTTATATTTTAACACAGTAAAACATGAGAGACATTTATTTAAATTCTTTGTCCGGTGCAGACTCGCTGTTTCACAGTGAAATCACAAAAAGCAAAGATGTAGAGCGTATTTTTACCTCCTCTCAAAGTTCAAACAAATTAGTGAAATTGTTGTTTCAATTTATTCAAAATAATTCCATCATCATTGACATTTATTTAGTAGTTTTAGTAATTACTTCAGTCCTTAAAATAACGTTTTCCTCGTTGTTATTCCATCCATTCTTTTAAATACTCATTGTTCATTCACCGTTGAATATTACAAAAACCCAATTCACCAAATGCACGACAGAAGTTACCGTTTACGACTTAGCACTCACCAACTCCGCATTCAAACCGGAGCTTCATCAAATGAAACAACTCGAAAGTATTCAAGCAATTCCAACCGCCAAAATTTAACATTCATCATCTTAAATTCGGGAAGTTTCGAGATTCTACCACTAGTTTCTGAAATCGATGATACAAGAGGTGGAGAAGCGGAGTTTAATATAAACCTCGCTACCGCATTTACTAAAATAAATAGAGAGAATATACAATACCGCAAACATAATATTGTTGTTTAAGTGAGCAACAAAACACTTCAAGATAATATAGTAGCTGAGATTTCAGATAATAAATGTGGGGCGTCTAGAGAAAAATCACACGGAGGTAATAGTGCCGTAATGCGGTTTTATGTGTCAAAAGGAATACAGGAGATTGTAACAAATGTTAATGGTGAAAAAAATTACTGGACTGGATATAAATGTCCAAAAGTTCTTAGCTGTTTTTTGCGAAAAAAATATTTTCAACCTCAAAATATGTAATATTAATTTTTCACAATTTAAAAACGCAACAAGGAATGAAATAAATATACCTAACTGTATACATACAGGGTGATTCTTAAATACACCGACAAAATTTTATCCTTGGTAGTATCAAATGAGAACATGCTGGAAAAAATATTTAAAAAATTCTTTGTTTAACCGTTCTCCAAATATTCGAAGTAAAGCGTACGCCACTGATGTGTTCGAAAATAGTATTAGCACAGGTAGTGAAAACCATGGTATTAATTTGATAAAAATGTACTTGATTATTGCAACAATTCATAAACGGCGTAAGTGACATGGATCAAGGGGGTTTTGCCCCTAAAAGATATAAACGTAAAAATCGTACAGTTTGCCTCCATTTATCGTTGGGAAGCTGTAATAAAATTTTGTCGGACTATTTAAGAATCATCCTGTATAGTGCTATGTATACTAATAATAGAACTCTCCGTATATTATATCAATATAATTCATTCAAGTAAGTGTTTTATTTATTTTTAAATTATTTTTAACGACTATTAAAGTGGTTCTTATCAGTATATTGATTTTTTCGTATACTGTTCTTATCGCTCATGATAATCATCCTCTATAAATTGAAAATTAGAACACATTAAGCCCACTCAAAATTCATCATGTACTTCAAGAGGTTAGTAATTTTCTGTGTCCTCTTTATGGACGTTCACTCTTCTTTAACAACTGACTACTACTCAAATCTAATCACTGAAAGAAATGCTGAAGCTTTTGTTTACCAACTTCCTGAAAGCAATGCTGAATTTCAACCCGGACTTGATTCAAATAAAACTACTGATTTAGGGCATTATGACTTTATTATAGTAGGAGCTGGGTCATCTGGTAGTGTTTTAGCAACAAGACTGACAGAAATAAACGACTGGAAGATTCTCTTGCTGGAAGCAGGAGGTGAAGAAGATGATTTTAGTAACATACCTGCAGAATTGATGTTTCTACAACTCAGTGATATGAATTGGGGGTACTACAGTACGCCTCAAAAAAATTGTTGTTTAGGTAAGTGCCACTATCGCTACTTTTCATACTCATAATTAATTGAAATTAATTAAAGGAATGAAAGATCAGAAATGTATGATTCCTCGAGGCAAGTCCATAGGAGGCAGCAGTGCCCTGAATGCTGTGCTCTATGTTAGAGGAAATTCTCAAGATTATGACCAATGGGAAGCTTTAGGTAACCCTGGCTGGTCATACAAAGACGTGCTTCCTTATTTCATCAAATCGGAAAATTCGCAAATTGACGGCGATCCTGGCTATCACGGAATCGGAGGATTTTGGAACGTTGAATATTCATTTCCAGCTTCAGATCTTTATGAAAATTTTATTGCTGCGTGTGATGAATTAAATATGACACGTCTTGATTATAACGGAAAAGGGCAAATTGGTACTGATAAATCTCAAATTAATATTAAACACGGAAAGAGACAAAGTTTGGGTACAGCTTTCTTGGACAATGCCCGAAAACGGAAGAATATCCATGTCATAACTAACGCTTTAGTAACCAAAGTTGCAATAGATCTGGGAAGTAAAGAAGCACAAGGAGTTGAATTTGTCACCAAAGAAGAAAAATTTTCAGTAAGGGTTGACAAAGAAGTCATACTTTCAGCAGGAGCTATAAATTCGCCTCAAATTTTAATGTTGTCAGGGATAGGTCCGAAAAAACATTTAGAAGAGTTGGGTATTGAAGTAATTGCAGATTTACCAGTTGGTGAAAACTTACTCGACCATCCCCTTTTTCCCGGTCTAGTTATACAAACAAATTATACTCTTCCTGGTACTACAATGGAGATATTACTTGAACAATATTTGAACGGACTAGGTCCGTTGACCAGTCCGGCCCATGTGGACAGCATCGGCTTCATTCACACTGGAGCCGGTCCTGCAGATCTCCCCACAGTCGAATATTTATTTATTCCTCCCGGTGGCTCAACCCTACCAATTTTAAACCGAGTTTACAATTACGACGACAACCTCGTCTACAACTTCTTGAGCAGAATCAACTCACGAAGCGACATTACGGTATATTTGGCCCTCTTGCATCAAAAATCCAAAGGGAGAATCACTTTACAATCAACGAATCCCGTCGACTTTCCTCTCATCGACTTGAACATGTTTGCAGAACCCGAAGACGTTGATAATTTAATTGAAGGAATCGAGTTCGTTATAAATTTAACAAAAACTGAAGCTTTCAAAAAAATCAATGCCAATCTTCTTAATGTACCGATTTGTACGGAGTTTACCAAGTATTCGAAACAATATTGGGAGTGTATGATTCGTCAAATGACACAAACCATCTATCATCCCTGTGGCACAACAGCAATGGGGCCGAATAAAACTACTTCCGTGGTCGATAATAATCTTAAAGTTCATGGAATTGGGAAGTTAAGGATTGTTGATGCGGGAGTTTTCCCAACCACGATTTCGGGCCACACGAATGCGCCGGCGGTCATGGTCGCAGAGAAAATTGCCGATGCAATTAAAGATGAGTACGGATATGGAAATAACTAAAAAATCTTGTTATTTTAGTTTTATTTAGTGAGTAATAAATTTCATCTGCTATCAAACTCTCTGCATAAAAATGTTAATGCAGTTACTGTAATAGCAAATACACTAAAAATCAATTTAAATTCACAAATACATAAAATATTCAATTTATGACAACAGTAAATCCACGATTAAACATTAGGTATTCTTAATAAATTAACAATTGCTTAGTGTGTATATTAACATTAGTAATCTCGTTAGTAATAGTCAGTTTTATAAAATTAGAATGCATTTCCTGTCATTTGAGACAACAATTCTCTTGTTCCACACTGGAACAAATTATGGCAAGTATAGCTAAATAATAAATGTTATAAAAGACTCATTAAATCATGACAGGATATTTACATCATTGCTCATATTTTTTTTTGGAAATATATTTCCATTTTCGATATTATTATACAGTCTGCTCCGGCTAAACCCCACATTAGAAGTATTAGGAGTTCTAACAGTGATATTTATATAAAATTTTGTACTACAACCATAATCGTTTAGATCCTGATCAATGAAAATATTTTCAAGATAGCAGAACTTCCGGTTATACCGGAAGTGGATATCAACTTTGTTACTTTAAATAAAAAGTTACGTTTTTTATAGCGTTTGGATTACTCAAGTGATATTGAGAGAGTTTTTATTAGCCTTCCCTATCCTAAATTTAACCATTTTCCAAATATTTAGACCTTTTTAAAAAAAAATTGGATTTGAATCTTCTTATTCAAAAATATATAACTGTACCATTTTTTATTATGTTAAAACCGTAGTTGAGTATACGAGAGAGAAAGATTAGATCTTTCTTTTGGTGTATTATTAATTAAAAAAATAATTAACAAACCGCCTAAATGTAATGTTACGTTTAGGAAACTTCAAATACCCTTAACTCATTTTTTCTTAATAAAGCGCCCCAAGTTTTTCTTCACTAAATGGATGAGAATTTAGTTCTACTTCGATCTGCATTAACATTCCCTATACCCATGTTTTATAGTTTTCAAGTTATAGTAACTTCTTTTAATATTGTGAAAAATTCATTAGCCATAGCTACTTCAGGACAAGTTGACATAGAAATAAGAAAAAAATAGAACATCAAAATTATTCAAATTTAGATCAAATAAATTTAATTTGTATTTACAAAAAAAATAACACAATTACGAAAAAACTTGACATTTTTTCAGTAAGAAATATTTCAATGGCAAACTATAAGAAAACTACCATGGATAGTAATGAATTTCTTTCATTGTAAAAAAAGTCAAAATAATTTGAAAATCATTAAATTTAGGTATAAGGAATGCAGAATTAAATTCTCTTTAATTTAGTGAAGAAAAAATTGGGGCCTTCTATTTGAAAAAATTCAGTCAGGAGTAAGTTTCCCAAACGTAACTTTAAATTTTGGAGGTTTGTTAATTATTTTTCCAATTATAAATACACAAAAAAAAAGATCTAACCTTCCTTTTTCATATGCCCAAATACGATTTCAAAATAATTAAAAATGGTAGAGTTATCGATTTTTGGAGAGGAAAATGCAAATTTTCCAAAAATTTCAAAAAAGCAAATATTTCAAAAACGATTAAATTTAGGTATAGAAAAGTCTGATAAAAACTCTCTCAAAATCACTTGAGAAATCCAAAAACGCAATAAAAAACATAATTTTCTATTTAAAATAACAATTTTTTTTATTTCCGGTGTAATCTAGTCAAATTTTAGATAAATATCATTGTTAGAACTCCCAATACTTGTAATGTGGGGTTTAACCGGAACACCCTGTATATTCAACAAATGTAAATGACATGCTAGAATCAAAAATCAACAACGGTTTTAAATGAAGTTTTCTGCATATGCAGCTATTCCATTCATCAATTATTCCAAAACAGAGGCGATTTCAATGTGACGAACAATAAAAAAGTATTCTATTTAAAATTCAGCTAACGTCAAGTACTATCAACTGTTTGCAGTCGACAACAATCTGAAAGTGCATGGAATTGTGGAGTAAAAGTTATTGGACGATTGTTGAAATTTTCCCAACAACTATATCAGGACATTGCTACTGTTATTATTGCAGAGAAAATTTCTGACGTCATAAAACGTAATAGGTAAAACAACCAACTCTAACAATTTCACTGAAAATCTTGCAAATAATCCCAAGCTCGACAAATAATAAAATCAAATCTTTGTGCACAAAGCACTTGCCAGTGTTTTACCAACCATAATACAGCTCGCAAATCTTTTAACCGCGATAATTACACAACTTCAGAGTTGCATCGAGTAGTGGAAACTCATGAACAATGTTTGAACTTTTGATTACTATTCGATCTGCGTTATTGACCTAACGACCAAAATCAATCATCGGGAAAGTGGAATAATAAATTATTAGTGCAGAGGGAAATAGATTTCTCCCCATGGAAATGCGTACTAATGCATGATGTAAGTGATATTACAAAACTCGCATTTATTATGTGATTCACTTCATTCAATTTCCCAATAAAATATTTGAAACCAATCATAAACGACTGCATATGGCGTTCGTAATAATTTTCACCGGAAGAACAAAACTGGACATTGAATAGATAGCAATTAATGTCCAAGTAGACATAAAATAACGTAAAGTATCATTAAAACAGAAAACGTGGCAAAGAAAAAAATTATTCAAGATTTAAAAATCATAATTACGTTTCAGTTATTCTAATAATTTCCTTGTTTGCAAACCATTAAACAGATGATTGAGCTATAAGTACTACAATTTTGTGAATTACATAGTGCCGATCAATCGCAAACAAACACATTCTTTTAGAAATCGTCTAGATAGATTTTTCCGTGACAGCTTCCGGTAAATTCGAAAGTGAATTAGATCAGGTTCAGGGTCACGTGTGCCAACTTTTACTTATACCAAGACCAAAAGTTCGATTAATCAACATTAGTTAAATAGAGAAAGGTAGCCTAAATACCGACGGTCGGTACTGGTCATCTGCCATAATCACTAAATCATTTTTAAAATGGGAAAATGCGTTGCGCAATCGGATTTTTCTCCTGTTTTCGCGTGACTCCCAAACAGCGTTTCAAAATCGAGAAAGTAAACAAAAACATGGTCAATTCTCTCCAATCTCTGTTGATTTTTTTATCTCCAAGTACAATGAAGAGTAGAAATTTATTGAAGTTTCACATGCGACACGAATCCGTTATCAGTGGATTTATAATGGCCGCTTATGGACTTACATCGCATTCCTGGTGTCCGGTACTTCCCTATTACTCGGAAGATTATCGCTGGCTTCTTGATTAAACCTATTGCGAATGTAGGGATCCTCTCCTTGTCTGAGTCCTCCTCTGGACACATAACCAGTTTCGTCGAAATAATTCCAAGTGAGGCGACTATCCGTCGTTTCCAGACTCTGTAAGGCCATAGGGACCGCCGGTCCTGGAGCCGAGTCGTCGCTGTATTGCGCCATTGTCACCCCTTCTTTCAGTCTTAGAGCTCGGTTTTCAGTCTGAAAAAACAATTATTCTTGAGTAACAACGATAGTGAAAGGATCGGGATGCTGCAATTGTATTTTTCTCACAATAAAAGTGATCTGACTTAGATTATCCGGACTTTCTCTTCCGCGATTACACTGTGGGAGAATTAGGGATTTTTTCCGAAATGTGGATCGAAGCTTAATCTGCATGCGATTTTGCAACTATTCGACTTTCTTATGCCAACGTCGTATTGTTTTCCATGCATGTCACAAGAGCTTTGACGGTGTATACATGGTGAAGTACAACAGAATTTCAATTTTGTACAACTGTTTCCTACACGGTAAACAAACTCACCTTAAATTATCATTACTGCACGTAAACTCAATCAAGGTTTGGTGTTGGCAGATGTAAAGTGGAACTACATACAACTTGAATAAACCAAGATAAATTTAGCCTATTATTTTTAAACATTAAACAGCTATATCAAAGGTAAACAACGCTTGTTTTTAATTCTTGTCGCAGCTTCATTTTTTTAGAGTTGTCACACCTTCCTGAATAAATTACCATACTAATAAAATGTTAAAACACGCTTTTACGATTTTACATAATTCGGCTTTATTAAATACAAAACAGCCTGTATAATAGTTTAATGTAACTATTACACATTATGTACTATACATGTTGTGATCGCAATATGCCATAAACAGCAATCATTTCACTTCTACGGAACTTCCTGTAATTGTAGAAGCACTTCAAAGTAGAGCAATAGAAAGGGAAAATGTTCCAATGATGGTACAAGTAACTGTTAAAAAACTGACATCAATTATTGGGAAGCCCAGTTTGTCTTAAAGCTTTTAAAAATTGGTCTCGATTTTGTCAATGCTATACTAATTTTTAATTAAAGTACGGAAATATTAAATTGGCAACATAAATGAAGTAGGAGTTGAAATGTTCGAAAAACAATTATTACAATCTAAAGTCGATCTTCCATTTATTTTACACTACTCCAAAAAATTAAAGGAATAAAAAAATTTCCTAAATTTTTTGGTGATTTTTGAAAGGCTGTAACTCATCGAAAAAAGGTCGTATCTAGATTTAAAAATAAACATTTTTAAGCTTTAAATTTCTCATTTGTTTATGTTTGTTATGTTGATCAATCGGTTCGAAAAAACGGTTTGATGGATCGATTTAAAAATTAGCAGTGCTCTGGGGGATACTTTGAGCTGTAAAAACACCTAAAAACATTAGTTTCCCCATCAATATTAATTAGTAAATACGAGGTAGATTTACTAAAACAACGCAAAAACTTACTTCTTTATCTTTTCTTTAAATCAATGTTAAAGGTAAAAAAAATTTTACAAAAAATCATAAGACATATCATATGACATTTATTCCAGTTTTTGATACTACCCTTATATTCCCTGTATGGTCATTGGTTGCTGAGATATCGATGATCAAAGACAAGAGGATTCTTTTTCATTTAAAGTTAGATATCTCAGCAACAAATTGTCGTAAAGAAAATACGAAGAAAACATATTAAAGGTAAACAAACATGCTATCTGGCCTATGAATTGACTTAACTAAAAAAAATTCTCTACGTCCGTGGACCAAAAACAAAACCGATTTTTTTTTCTTGCTCTATTACTTAGAATTGCGTGATAAACGTAGCACAGAAAAATATTTGCCAAAAGATCTCAAAACTAGAAACTTAAAGTTTAAAAATGTTTTTTTTTTAATCTAGATACGACCATTTTTCGATGAGTTACAATCCTTTCAAAAATCACCAACAAATTTAGGAAAATTTTTTGTTCCTTTAATTTTTTGGAGTAGTGTATCACTAATAATCACTCGAAGAAACATTATTCTGAAGCATCTAATTTCAGTCGCATCATAAGCAAAATTCAGCTTTTTTGCTTGAGCAACTTTTATTTAAATGAAGTTAGCTTTTACATCCACCAAATCAATTCCTGGTCCATTAAGCTCAGGTCTGCAGAGGCGCATCTAATGTAGGTCTTCATCGCATGAGTCAGCAACAGCAATAAATCTGTATAACAATCGAAAAATCGATCTGAGAGTAGTTTGAGTTTTAAAATTCCTTAACAATGTAGCAATAATTTTCAAGAACGGGTTTTAATGTCACGATCACGTTTCCTGTTTGACCGGATATTATATCTTAATGACAATTAAACGCGAGTTTTCCTAAGAGAATTATTTTGCTATTAAAGTAATTAGACGCTAAAAAAAGACTTTTAGAAACATTATAACGTCAACATCAATTTAGGTAAATTCAAGAACGTGTTAATTTGACCTAAAAAAAGGAAAAAAACTGTATTATGTTACACGGTCGAAAAAGTCGGCGCCTAAACCTTTCACAATTGGGATGTTAATTCCGGGCCTTAATAGATTATTATCTGTCGCATAAACAGATAATTTGAAACTTTATGAAAGTAAATTCGAGGTTTCAGCAACCGCTTTGAGGATTATTTTCTCCTCTTGTTTTTCTTTTAATTTCAATATACTTTATGCTTGCATAAATTAACCTTGTTGCTCCGTCACCTTTAGCTTGCGTTTTATGTAAATTGTCTGCATTCTGTGTAAATTCCAATCGATTTATCGAAAAAAGAGCGGATTGACCCATCCATAAAAATTTCATTTGAAAATGGAACATTCACGTCCACATTGCTAATTTACAACCCTAAAATGTTTTAATTTGGAAAAAGTACGGAACAAAACAGTAATTGAAACGTAAAGGTTCCTATCGTCCTAAATTTAAATCGAAGGGTTTATCCAGCCCAAAATTTGCATGGTAAACACTGGAGATCGGATATTACAAAATAACAATATCGCTTTAGTAATTAAAACTTCCATTAAGATACATTAGTAGATTTGCATCCACACTCTCATTAAATTTTATTGAGTTTGGAACAATCGCAAATTGTCGAAAGTCGCAATAAAAGCCGCGGTTTCAGCTGCCATAATAAAAGACATCATTTCTGTACTAATCTTATTTGATACACATGGGCTGCAACAGTTATTGCATCTGAAACCAAAATCCTTTCACTCATCCAAATGTCAGATTCAATTTCGTCATTGGGTGTTTACAAAGCCTTTTGAATTTTTCTCATAACTTCGAGAGTAACATCTTCGTGGGTGGAGCATGTTTACACTTTAGTTTCCGGCCTTTGCAAGCACCGTACTAAGAAATTTATATATGGGCTTAATTCTCCCGGTTTGTCTTCTGTAATATCGATCGAGTGAGTTAGCACGTCGTAAACTTTTCCAGAAAGATAAATCACCCCGAATACGCTATTTTTAACCGGCAAAATTGTTTTTTATTTACGGCCATTCTTGCTACGGGTTTATTATGAAACGAATAAATCACGAAGACGTTAGAAAGGCAAATGGTCATCATTTCTCTGAAACTATGTGGAAATAATAGCTCGAGACGGACATGTTACCAAGAGATGAAAGTAGACATTCTATTGCCGTATTTACCGATTTTTGAGTGGAAGTCGTTACGATTTAATTTGTTGCTACCCACAAAGCAGATGCAAAATTTATTTGATAAGGTCAAATTATGAAAGTATGTATTAAAAATTTAAAAACGTTCCAATAAATACATTGTATACATCTGGATTTTAAAAAGTCTAAAGCAACTTTTTGAATTTTCTCTTCAAATAGCTATTTAGTTTATATCGACACAGAAAGCTACTTACAAATAACAAGATATTGCAAAGTACAAATAGACAATGTTTGATTCAGAAATGTGATTTTCAAAAGATAAACTTCTACAATTTCCTTAAATTTCTTCTAAACAGTAATTTTATTCATTAATCATTACAAAGAAAAATAGTTTGACCCATTTGTAGCCACGATTATGTCATTTTGTATTCGTAATAACATTAGATTTCGAATTGAGATTTTATATTTTTAATTACATGATTCTTCAAGCATGAGTGAAAGTAACCAATATTTGCAAATAATATGATCAAATACCGTTTTTAGTAACCTAGATGATACAGGAAAAAGTCGAATAAATGAGAAATATGAATTAAAAAAATAGTTAAGACGAAAACCTTTCACTTCTTTCCTTACGGAATAACAAGCATAAAAAATAAGCATCCTTTAATCTTAAATTAATCGCAACATAATCTACTTTCTGAAAAGGTGTTTGAAATTGTAATTACGAAAGCACTGTGTTTATGGACACTAAACAATTTATGACTGAAAAACAATTAGTAGTCTATCGAGATGCTTCAAATTTGCATACGAAATATCTTTCACTATGTTTCAGTCAATAAATACCTTGAATGCCATTAGCTACAAGTTAATTTCGATAAAAAAATCTTGTTAAAAATAATCTTCTAATTAAGTGTAATTGACACGCTGCTGTATTCTGATGAGAAAGTTATATTAATCATCCTAATTGCCTAAAAACTCCTAGCCAATTTTTTTATTTTTTTTTTAAATAATAAAATGAATCGACCAACACGAAATGTCATGATATGGCTTATTGCGCAATGTTTAATTTGACGATTTGATTAAAATAAACTTCACTTCAGGCACTTTGAATTAAAAAAAACCTGCATTATAATCAAAACTCCCACATAAAAATAACCCAAAGCAAAGTTACTCAATGGTGCCAAAACAAAAACGTGGGATAAAATTACGGTACGCTTCAGAGCCACCAAACTGAAAATTCCTTTAACGGAAGTATTTCATTAAAATTTACAGCAAAACAAGTCTTTTTCTTTTACAATCACCTGGAAGCTTCTTATTCACCTTGACCTATAGATATAATCTATTATTATCCATAAAAGCAGATCGGTTTAAAATTAAAAACTTGAATTTGTGCTAAGTTTTGAATTAATTTACAGTCGTAGCGTGCTAGTCGGCAGGTCAGAGATTTATTAACAAGTCCTACTGTTTTGTAAAATTACACTTTTATCGACCATCAGTTGGCACACCTTGAATATCGAAAGGAATCTTGTTATAGCAATTACAATCTAGTACATCACAAGAGTTAACAGTT